TACTCACTCATAAGTACTCAGGTGAGTACTCAGTGAGTAAAAAAATGTATGAGTACGTATGAGTACTCGTCCGGTTTTTCTAGCAGAGTACTTTTTGAGTACTCACACTTGAGTACATTCACTAGGGCAAGAGTACTGCTGTTTTGTGCTTCGGAGCACTCTTTTTTATAAAGTGCAGCCGAAGCACTGTGGAGTACTTCAAAAAAAGGAGTACTCATCTTTTGTGGGTACTCCATTGTAGTTTTTGAAGTACTTTTGAGAACATGCGCTTGGAGTACTCCGGAGTGATTCTTAAAACAGGGTTATTGAGAGTACTTCTTTTTTGGAGCACTCTTTTTGGGAAAAAGAGTAGTCCTTTCTTTTTTTCAAAAAGAATGCTCCATCATAGTCCTCCTCTTGATATTTTTCTTTTGACTGGGTCGTCTTCACTTACAATGAAGGTAACTATTGTTTGAATTATACTACTGTATGATGATGAACTAGATGTTTGAGTGCTGGAACATGAACGAAAAAACATACGAATTTCATAGCATAAAAGTCCTGTGCCATATCATAAAATTTCGTGGGCGTTAGCAGAAAAGTCCTGTGCGATATCATACCATTGGGTGAGGGTCCGAGTTAGAACAGGTCATATGATGGAATCTTTTTTGAAGATGAGCGTTTTAAGGTTTTCATACTTTGTTTTGTTGTATATGGCGTTAGCCGCTTGTATAACACACGTTAGTGGGCTCCGATTTCATCACCGTTTGGATTCACCGTTTAACCTCATCTAGGCAGCTGTGTCAATTACTCAGCATTCTGCAATAGTGTGCTTTCCTTTCGAACATGAAATAGAACGAGTGTCTTCTAAGTCGATTTTAACATCATTCTTCTGCTAGTGCTGCTTGAGATACATTACAAGATAAAAGGAAGCCCTCCGTGACAACCCTGAGCATACAAATTCTTTAGTGAAGGGTGCTTTTACATCACTGTACGAAACAAAGAAACTTCTCGTGGCCACCTGCATTTCCAGAAACTGATCATGCAAGCATCGAATGCGTCTACAAAAGGTCTTCAGTAAAAGCAACGTGCCACGATTCCTTTTTATTCGTCTGTAGAATTGATAGTGCATGTGCATCCCTCTACATAGATTTCAAAGTGTTACTCAAAAGATTAGCTCCGTTTGCAATGAAACGTCTCTTCATCTCTACTGAACGAACAAACAGGTGAAGTCCTGACATGCTCATAATCCATTTTTTTTCTTAAGGACGGTTCTCCACTTCTGATTTCTACGTTAAAACTTTACGTTTTTCATTTTCTCAGTGTTCATTTCAAATCGTAAGCGTAAAGGCGTACTTGAATGGGCTGGAAAAGTGACCTACAGATGTTGCGAGACGAAGTGGAAGAAATGTCACGAGAACCCTTCGACAGTTGAAGAAAGGGTTATTGTCACAACAGATGCACCATATAAACTTAAGAGACGATCCCACATCCAGTGAAATATAAAATATCCGGGACCCTGATCTACCCCAATTGTCTTCATCTAGACGACTGTTGAACTGTTACTGTCGGAAGTCTGAATATATCGAAAATGAGTAGTAATCAAAAAAGTTCATTGTCCACCATGTGCCTAATGATTCTAAAGAAAACAATAAGCTGATTAGATTCGTCGTAGGTCAGATTACATAACTTACTCATGTGCTTTTGTTATCACAGGATGACAGATTTTTAATAAAGATTTTTCCAGTGAAGTCCTTTTATGTATTTCATATTCTCTGTATTTTATTTTTCTTAATATTTTACAAAAATACAGTTTGCTGAATTGGGCACAAGTAATAGTTGAACTGAAATGTAATCAGCATAATCTTACTGTGACAAGTCTTGTTAAACAATGGACAAGATATTCACTATTTTTCCTTCTCTGATGTAACTAAAAATAAAGGTTTTTGCAATGAAATGTTTTTATCACATGCGAATAAATATTGTTTGATACGGAGTAGCTATTCTTTATATTACAGCAACAACAGAAATTCAATTAATTCTGTTGATACTACTAGGACAGAATATACACTATACATATTCTTACTTCAAAAAATGCGTATATATTACTATCTATTAACACATATGTTATTGGCCAGTGAACTACACATACTATCATTTTCATTTTTTCTTGATTCATTAAAAAAACATAACATTAAGAAAAATATATCTCAAAACTTACCCGAAGTCAAAGTATCGAACCCTTACAAACAAGTAGAAAAAGAAAGAATTCTTGGTAAAGGCGGTTTCGGTGTTGTTCATCAGGGTAAACATAAATCTAATAAATTTGCTATCAAACAAGTTGAATGCGATCATAACGATCATACCATTTGGTTAGATGAGCCAATTCTCCCAAATTCATTAATTTATCAACATATTCAAACTGACATAGGTGGACGTGAACAATTATTTCATGAATTATCTGATCAACGAGCCTACGCACCGATATTATATAATGTGTATGGTACCTGTCCATCATCATCACTACAACTTTCTGGTAATAAACATATGATCAGTTATGTTATGGATTATGTTGAGGGCAAAGATCTGCAACAATTGAACGTTGAATGGGAAAAGAAATATCAAAAGACAGATTATTATTGTCAGTTATGTCACATCATGAATAAGATTGTCTTCATGTTCTATGATTTTAATTATGCATTAAAAATTGTAAATATAATTAAACGCTCTATAATAATCGAGCTTAACGTTGCTTTCGTTTTAGTCACATAACGACATTAAACCAGCCAACATTATGGTAAATACTGAAAATAATGTATATCTAATTGATTTTGGTAGTTCATCTCTATTTGATTTTGATCAATATTTGTATGGAGGTTCGAGTAAAGCATATACACCTTCTTTCGTGCCACCTGAATGGTTAGCCAAGAGACCTATTCAACCAAAGTATAATGAGAAACCGTTCAATAAAAAGTTCACAGATACATTCGCTCAAGGTTCGGCAAAACCTGATTATACAATATATGCGATTGGTATATCCTATCTGTCTTTGATTTCCAGTAATGAAATATTTATTAATGTCATGAATAATTATTTGATTCATGCTCGTGCTGATGCTGGAATTCAAGAAGTAACAGATTTTAGTTTTGATTTGTTTGACACATGGCAATTAGCCACAAGACAAGGACGAATGTTAGATTTTCTGTATCAATGTCTGAGGGTAAAAAGTGAGCAACGAATAATGTTACATGATATTCATGCAGTATTTCATCAATGTTGCTTATTAACACAAATGGAGGACAAGTAAGAAAACGAGTCGCTTCAAGAAAATTATAAATTTTTTTAGAGAAAATGTCCTGTTCGATATCATTAGATCCCATTTATTTAGACATTATAATTCATCTTATAGTTCTTGTGCTGTGAAAAAATTGTGAGAACGAGAAGAAAATTTCTTTATTTCATAAATAGTCCTTGAATAGGTCTGATGTTTCCCCAATAGAAACATTTGACAATAATCTCTGGAGCATTTGTTTCTAATAATATTTTCACTATTGTTAAGGGTATTCTAAAATTTTCCGATGAATTTTCGTGGAGATATACTCATCGCTGTAAATGCCCTGGAAAACAGAGCCCTGTGTACAATATAATGTGTTTTTCCCACTATGCGCTTTTTCGATAGTCCCTTCAAGCGGGCCGTATTACGACCCCTCGAAAAAACGGTCCCGATCGAGCTGACAATCTAACCGTACACACATAAGACAGTAATTTAATAACTCTTTCTATCATTTTAAAACCTTAAACAAAGATGTCCGGGATTTTTTCGATGTCCATTTAAATCGAATATCTTTAACCATGCATTTTTCAGTATCGATTAACCATGCATACCTAAATATGCTAAGCAGTTTTCAGTATTAACTTTATGTGATTGTCTGATCTGGTTATTTCTGTACGTTATTTCTACAATTTTTGTATTAAGATTATCTGATTATTTAATCTTCTCGTATTTTGTGGAAAAAATAGAGTGAAAATATGGACTGTTGATATTCCATAAAAAGAAATCTGTTAGATATTGAGATTGTCATCGTCTCTCATGTAAAGAAGAATAAAATGTATAACTTCTTAGTTATTACTTAAGGTCCGCCCCCTCCCCCCACAGGTTTCTCGAATAATGATCTTTTTGTGGATGCTTAAGGGCCCCCCTGCCTTCTAAAATTTTTTTTTCCCAGAACACTCAATCTTACTGAAATTTTTATTGAATATGTATCTGATCATTGATAGTTCTCAGTAAAAATTTGAGCTCATAATATTGAGTTTTTCGCGAGTTATTGTAACATCAAGGGTCAAAAAGTAGGT